CCCCCCCCCCCCCCCCCCCCCCCCCGTTCTAAGCGGCATCATTGTAGGAGCGCGCGCAGATGTTGGCGCTGTTTCTATCATGAGCAAGATGGGTCCTCAGCCTCGCAACGACTTGATGGCAAATGCTCAAGTTCACGAATGGCAAACCCCCTATGATCCTACTTTACTCTTCACATGCTACCTCGACCGAAGAGCCTCCGTTGTTTTGTGTTCTCGTCCATGATCCCCTCCTCCCTGTTTCACGCCTCAACATGCCTTGCCTTGCCTTGCCTTGCCTCTCCGTCTTCCTCTACCTCTACCTCTGCTGCTGCTGCTGCTGTATCAGCGCCACAACGCCATCCTCGAGCGACGGAAGCAGCCCGTCCTGCCCGTGGACGACGCCCTCTTGGGAAACCTCAAGCCGCCCGAGGAGGGGACGCTTGCCGCGCCTCCCCTGGTGCTGAAGAAGCTCAGCATCGCGACGAACGTGGCGGGGCCCATCCTCCGCGCCTGGGATTTCCTCCACCTTAACTCTCAGGTGTGCTGCTGCGGGTTTTTATTATGGATGGGTGCCTTGTGGACAACTCGGAAATTCGCCATTGGCATGAGCGGCGCAGGGCGCGGGACAGCTCCGTTTTTGGCGGCCCGTTCGGACGTTAGGGGACATGCGGGTGTGTCCAGACTCGCCGTGTTTGCCACGGCGTTGCCACAAACGGACTGAACGGGGTCGTTTGAGAGCCGAGAGCCGCAAACACGCTTCCGCCACTGCTGTTCCATGAAAAGGGCAACCCGTGGGTGTCGGCTGTGGGCCGCCCTTGTTGTTGTGAGGGCAGCGATGATGATGATGATGATGATGATGATGACAGGGCAGGTCTTGTAGATGCCCTCCACCGAGGAGATGTCGACCTTGGTGGTCTCAGGCGTTCTGTTCGCAGGCTAAGACTGTGGGTTTGGCTTGGCCACCACGGAAAATCGTCAACTTGCCTCTGAAGAGCGGAGAAGAGGTACTCAACCCTCCTAGTGCTGGACGCCGAAATGGGGACACTTTTGGTACACAGCGTTCAAAAGCCTACTCACCTCACCGTAGTCGCCGTAGGCTCCGCTGTGTGAAACGCACGTGAGAACCCTTGGTCTATCGTGCGTGGCTGAGAAAGTACGCTGTGTGACTATGCTGTGTGATGCCTCTCCTCGGCCTCTGGCTTGCTGTACACAATCTCTCCAAGCCGCGTGTTGCCTACGTTCTAAAGCTGAAACTTCGCATAGATGGTACTGGAAAATTTTGCTGACTTGCCTTCAGTATGAAAAGTTTACCCCACGTGTTTTGGGGACACTTTTCATACCGAATCCAAGTCACCCTTTGTCTCGGCACTTTAGAGGGACTGTAGCCCCGCGGCCAATGACTGACAAGACCTTTTACAATATTTTTTTTTCAGAGAGACCGCATGCTAGGAAGATACACGTCGGAGCGGCGGAGTGTATTCTGTACAGCAGCCAACGACTACATCACATCCTTTTAATTGCCAAGAATATGGTAACTGCCATGTATGCGCACGTACCGAATGGTTTCCCCTCGTGTGTTTGGTCCTTCATTTACTTCTGGACAGACGATCATGCTCACCCCCTTCGGGCTGGACGATTTCGCGGACTCGCTGCACTACGGGGCGGGGGCGTCTGTGATGGTCGCGGAGGTGCACACGCGTCTCCTTAGCCTTATCTTCCGGTGAGTGAGACGCAGAGGACCAGGACCAGGGGCCGGACAACGGAGAGGGCGGACAGGCCATCGTGCCGTTGTTGTTCTTTCGTGAGGCCGCTAGAGAACAACGCCTCCGCTCGAGGCCCGTCGAAAACTTCGCCGGTGGTCTCTGGGTATTCTTGATCGTCAGGTTAAGGGGTGTAACATTGGTGTGTGTGTCTTCCAACGTCGACTAGTAGTGTAGCGTCTTCTCGAGACTGGTGCTGTGAGAATCGTATCTACGATTCAGCTGCAGGTGTTTTCTTCATGTGTTTGACGCGGTGGCGGGTGTCCTCTTGAAACGATGCCAACAGCACCTTTGTTCATGCAAGCGGCCTTTTTGTTCGTACAAGGACAGGCAGGGAATGGGTTGGTTGTGGAGGCCGAGGCGTTGTAGCTCTAAAGCCGACAGACGGCTGCATCATATGCTCTACATAGACGTTGCTCTATGGCAGAGGTGTCGCCTTAGGCCGGCAGAGTCTTCGTTCTAGGCGTTGCTGCTTAGTTTTGCAGAGACATGTTTTGCTTAGGTCCGTTTCGGCCCGTCAGCCAGCGGTACCGCCCCCTTTCCGCCACCCTGACAACACCCAGACCCTAAAACGGTCCCCGCTTGTATCTACCTTTGCACCCCCCCCCTCCCCCCTGTCTACTAACACCCCTAAACCAAATGGATCCGCCCGTCCTTTTGTCAATCC